CATGCTTTTGGTGGTCCGATAATGACCCGCGGACCGAATGTTTTCTGAATCTCTAGCTGGAGATGAAATTGGAAGTTTCCTCAAGGAAGCTTCTCCATGGCCTCCAAAGCGACGGCTGTTTAATGGCCTACTCCGAGCGGCTGCAACAAAATCGGCCAGAAACTCTGTTCTGCATCTCTGTTGTGCTCGGCCAGCCGAGCGATTGATGATTGTTGTGTGCCAGGCGAACGATCGCCATGGGCTTGAGCAGACAAAGGCGCTTACAAGCACAATCAGGCCTGGCTGTGCATGCTTTAGGGGTTTAGGAGTTTTAGGGTAGACCATATCCTGCGGTCCTGGATTCCAGGACATAAAGTTTTAGGGTAGACCATATCCTGCGGTCCTGGATTCCAGGACATAAACTTACAAAACCCTAAACCTCAAACCCTGAGCTCCACCTACCAGAGTAACCTGGACCCCATCGAAAGCCCGAGCACCGAGAGCCCAAGCACCAAGAGCCTCAGCCTGGAGATTCAGTGAGTGTTTGCAAGTGACTGCGGAAGCTGAAGCCCGGAAGCACCGAGAGCCTCCCAAGCACCGAAAGCCCAAGCACCGAGAGACCAAGCACCAAGAGCCGAAGCACCAAACCCTAAACCCTAAACCTGAAACCCTGGCAAGGTTAGGCAGCAAGTAGCGCCGCCTGCCAGAGGAACCCTAGCACCGAGACCCCAAGCCCGGGCTGCTCAGCCACGCTGCTCAAGGAGATATCGAAACTATAGCATGAATGCATCCATGCTACCGTTGTGGCAGTGACACCGTTCTCCTTGTATCCCCACTACCATTGCCTCTGTCGCTCTCGATAATCATGCCCAGACCAGTGGGATCTTGCGAGCGCCACCTCACCAAGGAAGAGCTGGAGCTCCTGCAACAAAACATTGTGCTGCCTCCGGACGAGTTGCTCGAGATCAAGAAGGATGCGACCTCGATCTTCGCAAGATGTTCCAAGCCGAAGGAAGTGAGCTCGCACAAAAGGATTCTTGTGTTCGCGCCTTTGGCTCTGCTCGAGAGACATCACTGGGTTCTCGGGCCCATCGTGAAAATGGTCCCTGAAGGGCCGCTGTCCCCGGAATCGAGACAAGGCTGCAGATATGCTTTTTTGTTGCATCTGACATGTGGTTGTGTTACCTTCTGATTGTGTTCTATATAAGCCTGTACCACTCAGGCTGGAGCTTTTGATGTACGGCCTCCTCAAAGGGTGCACTACTGCTGAACTGCCAGCCGACAGCATTTTGCTCTTGGCACAGGATGTCAAGGTCATGCTGCAGACGCTTCGGAAGTATCGGCGGCAATGGTTGTGGTTGGCGAAGAAAACCAACGTGGATTGGCCGCCAGGGGCATCTAAGTATCCTCGTGTCTTCAGCATGGTCAAGGACATGACAGGCGATTTGGCCAAGCCAGACGGTGATGAAGATGAATGCAGCGATGGCGAGGAAATCACTTCCGAAGCGCAGGAGCTGGCGGCAATGTGGGCAGTGCCAGACACAGATGGCGTTGAAGAACAAATCCTGAAAAAGAGAAAGACTGCTCTGGAAGAGCTCCAGCAGACTACAGTGCTGCTCCATGGGAGCAGTGATGAGGAGCAGCCGCCGGAGGCTGCTCGGTCATCGAGGGATCCTGCACCGATATCGGCCCCGCCACGGGGGCCGGGTGCCTCGCAGAATGCCGCACCGATGCCGGGCCCGCCACGGGAGCCGGACGCCTCTGCGGAAATCGCAATATGGCTGCACTAAGGTTGATATTGCTAACAGATTCCTTCAATTCGATTCATCCTGACCCAGGCCTACACACCGGAGCCTGAAAGCCTGGAGGCGCCCCCGTCTGCAACATAGCTGCAGTAAATGTTGTTCTGCAAATCAGTCGTATGTGTCAGGCAATTGCATGGTACATGGGTGTCAAACCTCCCGATGCTGTGGATCTTGTCCAACAACGTCGGCTAGTGGCTGAGGCGAGGGCCAAAGGCAAAGCAGGCGAAGGCGAAGGCGAAGGCGAAGGCGAATGCCTCCCGGGCCCACTACCGACTGAAGTTTCAGAACCGAAAGGGTGTGGAGATGCCTTCGCTGTACGACAACGAGGAGAATAAGCAAATCCTGCAGCTCTCCACGAAGATATATCCAGATGCCACGGCGAAAGTCCGGGAATGGGTTCGTCAATTGAATGAGGACGAAACAGACGTGGCGGCTGTCCTGTATGAGTGCAACGAAATCAAGGCGGCGAGGTCCTGATCCGGTGTGAGTCGCGGAGCTGCCTGCGATAAGAAATGGGAACGACGCTGCCACTCCGTGCTTCTTGTTGGTTGGTGAGCTGTGGTTAATGTGCCCTCGATCAGGCAGAAGCTCCTCTGCGGCCCCGTCTCGGGAGCCGACTGCTCAAGAAGAAACCTCCAGGCAGGAATATGTATGCTGTGTGCAATGGGTAGGTGGGGCTGAACATGAACCCCCTCCCGCAATTGTTGGCTCCACGAAGACCATGAACAAAAATAGGTTCCGCGATTGGCATCATCAAACTGTGCTGTCTTTTCTTCATATGATGACAGAATCTTACATAGCCGACGCCGCCGATGTTGCTGCACGCTTGGCTGCTCTGAGTGTCTCAATTGCAAAAAGTATGGCAATGCATGTGCTGATCTGAACCTTGCAAGATGAGGCGTCATGGATGTCCGCTTGCTGTATGGCCTGATGCAGAAAAAACTGCCGTGGGCTACTGGCCTCGAATGAATAAGTTGTGTCTTATTCTGTGGGTCACCTCGATCTACAGGTGTACATTGACATCGTCCTGTGGGCTTTGATCTTCCGTACACCACAACATGGAATCTATCTGGAAATATTCCAAGAACTCGACATGCTGGAGTTCTTTTGCGGCAAGGCTGGTGTCATGCTTACATGTACAGTGTACCACCTTGTCACGTAGCAGGCTCGACTTACCAAATCTTTCCGATGTCTCGGGGCAACATGTCGGTGCTTTGACGTGGACCGCAACTCGTCAAATGAGATGTCCCAAAGGTTCCTTTCGTGCATGTTTGCTGTTGTCAGGTTCTAAATTTCACGACCTCGAACTGCCAGTTGGCCTTTTGGTGGGGATCCTATCTCTATTGGACGTTGTTGCTGGGGGCTTCGTTCATCTGGCCCCGGTATGCAGCAGCTTTGTATGGATCAACCTCGCCGACCATCGGCGAGATTGCTTCCATCCGTTGGGCAACGAGTCTCGAGACCATGTTCAGCTGGGCAACAAGCTCGTGGAACGCACTGTTATGCTGCTCACCCTCGCATTTCATGTGGGTTTGTTCATCCAATTCGAGACTCCTCGTCTTTCAAAGCTGGAATTGCATCCATCAATGCAGATGCTCATAACTCATCTGGGGTTACACCACCAGGAGTTGCAACGCAACTCGGTATTCCTGGGTGACTATGGTGCTGATAGTTCAAAACCCATTTGGATCTATGCTTTGAAAGAATTGGATATTCAACCTGCCCTTGGCCATTCCTCCACGACGATCTCATCTGTCACCTCGACCGAGCCCGTCACAAGAAGGACTGCTTTGACCACATAGTTTTGGTGTTGTTGTCGTGACTGAGCCCTCTGCTTGTGGTGCAATGTCAGGTACATTGGTCGCGATGGACGAGAGTGTTGTGCAGGGGGTGCAGGTCTCAAATCCACACAAGCCTATCCCAAGGAGTCGCTTGGCCGGTGGCATAACCCCAGTACTGCATGATGTCTCACCAAAGTCACCAAAATAGGTTCGGCAAATCCATGGCCCAATGGTGGTTTGACAATCATGCCGAACTACGAGAAGATGGGACCCTGTTCTTCATTAATGTTGGCATGTGCTGGCTGGTGTGTAGTCTGCCCCAGTCAGGATGAACCGAAAGATGTCCCTCATGCGAATTGGCGGCCAATTGGACCTGGATACCATGACCCAAAGGCCTGCATCACTCCTGTGTCCTTGGCTATCTTACGCTTCTCCACTCTGCAGGCTGATACTCTTCAGTCAGCGGCGTCACCCCACCATGGGATTCGAAGACGTTCTTGCATTTTGCAAGGGACGCCTGTCGAATCAATGACGTGCATCGAATCGAAAAACTATACACATGTTGCATGCCATTGACAGTTGATGCCGGCACCGACCCGTCACGACCCGTCACGGACCCGTCACGGTGAATTAACGTCTCACACCTTTATAGCTGTAGCGCCACCCGTCACGACCCGTCACGGCCCATCTGGAGTTGATCGAACCTTGTACTCTGCAGTCTGTTTTGTTGGTCCGAGCCCTCGGCCTTTGACACTTTTGCTGCAGTCTGCTTGATGGCAAGTAGGGTGAAGGAAGAAATTCTGGCTGCCATGAACAGCACGGACCCCCGACTTGTGGGTACTGTGATTGCCGCCGCAGCTGTGGCTGGTCAGTCAGGCGAGGTGCAGTGATAGTTTGATGTGTCCTTTATTACGTAAGTGGCATGCATCGCAGGCATGAGCCAGGACACCTTTATGGACGACACCCAACGTGTCATGGAAGCCGGTGACACACTCCCCAGTGTTGCTGCCGAACCCGGATCACAGCCTCTTGCCTGTTGGCTGGCCCGTGCGCTTAAGACTGTGCCATCGAGAATTGAATTGGCATATGTATTGTGCGTGTCCATCTTGACAGAATCTCAGGTGTTTGGTGGATCCCAACGACAGTCAGGTGTGGGGCCGGAGGGGCTCAAACATAGAGCAGGAACTGCTGGCGATGCAACTCCATCAGCATCTGTGCTGCATGTAAACACATTCGAAACCCTCGTTCAGGGTATGCTGACGGTTCATGATGTGTTGCACGCTATCTAAGACCTATTGTGCATCAGCCGCACTATCCTCCCAGCGATCTCCGTCGGTTTGTAAAAAAGGGTGGTATTTGGGAGACTGTGAGGCACCGTGACGACCTTGAACGGCAACTGGAAGCTCTTGTGGATGCACAAGGGTCGGAACCTGTCATGGGTCCGGCACCGAGGCCCACTGCTGCAAAGACCTCCTCTCCTGCCGGACCGGCTTGTCCTGCATTTTCCGCCGTTCCGGCACCCTTGCCCTCTGCAGTTGGAGCGGCCCTGCCGCCGGTGCCTGTGCTGGGCCCTGTTTTCGGAGGGGGATCCGTGCCATCAGTGTTGCCGCTGCCATCGGCAGTACCCCGTGCTGCGGCTGTTGCTACGTGTGCACCTGCTGCCACGACCACGGCAGCAATCCTTAATGGGCCCCAGATGGTGACCGCTGCGAGTGCCATCGCCGCCGTCGCCCGTCCAATGCACCCGGTGCTGGCAACTCCTTGTGTTGATGCAGGTCAGCCACCAGTGTCAGCTGCGGTTGTGCCGTCGTCACAACCGTCCACAGTACCTGCTGCCACAGCGACAGTTCCCTTATCTACGCCAGGGGCGACAACCGTGAATGCCAGCATGATTCCTGCAGTCGATAATCCGATGGAAACACTGTTTCGACCACGTGTGTCGTCGCTGCCGTCGGCAGAGCTTGCTGCCACGACCAACACAACAGCCTCGGCATCCGAGATGGTGACGACCGCTGCGAATGCCATCGCAATGGGTACAGTGGACCCTGCCGTGCATCCGATGCAACCAATGCCGACAACACCTCTCGTTGTGTCGTCGCTGCCATCGGCAGAGTCCGTTGCTGCTGCTAGCATGTCTGCTGCCGCGAACAACACAGCAGCAGCAGCACCTGCATCTGACATGGCGACGCCCGTTGCGAATGCCATCATGATGCCTGCAGTTGCCACCACCGCCCACCCCATGCAGCCGGTGCTCGACCCCAGTCCTGGTGCTGACGCAGCTCAACCACCAGTGTTGGCGTTGTCTGAGCCACCTCTGGTTGCACCGGTCGTGTCGTCGCATGCAATTGCACCGGTCGTGTCCTCACAACCGTCGGTACGACCGTCGGCGGAGCCCGTTGCTGCTGCACTTAATGCTGCCACGGCCTGCACACCAGCAATCACCGCATCCGCACATGCCGTCATGATGCCTGCAGTTGCCACCGCCGCCGCCCACCCCATGCAGCCAGTGCTCCCGTGTCGTGGTGCTGGTGCAGACCAACCGCCAGTGTTGGCATTGCCTGAGCCACCTGCGGGTACACCGGTCCTGTCGTCGCAACCATCGGCGGAGCCCGTTGCTGCTGCATGCCCTGCTGCCACGGCCCACACAGCAGCAAACGCCCTCATGATGCCTGCAGTTGCCACCACCGCCCACCCCGGGCAGCCAATGCTCCCGTGTCCTGCAGCTGGTGCAGACCAACCGCCAGTGTTGGCATTGCCTGAGCCACCTGCGGTTACACCGGTCCTGTCGTCACAACCATCGGCGGAGCCCGTTGCTGCTGCATGCCCTGAAGCCACGGCCCACACAGCAGCAAACGCCGTCATGATGCCTGCAGTTGCCACCGCCGCCCACCCCGGGCAGCCAGTGCTCCCGTGTCCTGCAGCTGGTGCAGACCAACTGTCAGTGTTGGCATTGCCTGAGCCACCTGTGGTTGCACCGGTCCTGTCGTCGCAACCATCGGCGGAGCCCGTTGCTGCTGCATTGCCGCCTGCGGAGTCACCGGCCATGTCCTCACAACCAACGGCCGAGCCCGTTGCTGCTGCATGCCCTGCTGCCACGGCCCACACAGCAGCAAACCCCGCATCCGCACATGCCGTCATGATGCCCACAGTTGCCGCCGTCACCCGTTTGATGCAACCACCGCTTGCAACTCCTGTTGCTGATGCAGCTCTACCGCCTGTGTCGGCATTGCCTGAGCCACCTGCGGTTGGAGCGACCGTGGCCCACCTTGCTCCTTCTGCATCTCCTCCGCCCGTGTCCAGTTTGCCTGGTCCGGCAACCGCTGCACCGGGGACTGTTGTGCTGGCGCCTGCGGCGAACCCAGAACCATCCACAAATGCCTTTCCTCTGGTTGCGGCGGCCCTTCCGAAACCTGTTGGTGATTCCGTGGGGCCTGGGGTTGCCAAAGTCAGTGACGATCTTGCCTCGGTCACCGCTCTGGGATGGAAGTGCGAGACGGGAATCAATGTGAAGTTTGGACCTCACGGGCAAGTTGAATTCGAGGAGTCGCTTTGGTGGGATGGTGCACGGCCAGGCTACGTGTTCAAAAAGGACCACCATGGCTTGGGGTACTACATCGACACCGTGCCAGCCTCGCAAGCAGCTTGGGAGTGCCATTTGCATGAGATGGGATGGTCAAGTGGCCCACAGCTGAAATCCGACCCCCGAACCGGGGAGCCGCCATCCGGCCCCAAAACCGGGGAGCCACCATCCGGCCCCAAAACCGGGGAGCCGCCATCAAGCCCCCAAACCGGGGAGCCGCCATCCGGCCCCCAAACCGGGGAGCCGCCATCCGGCCCCCAATCCATCCTCCGCAAGCCGCCCGCCGCGGCCCTCGAGATCCAGGAACCACCATACTCCCGCAACGCAGCTGCCAAGCTCATTGAGCGAGTGAAGAGGAATGCGAAACGCATGAGCCAACTGGACGCCGACGTCCAGGCCCTCATCAACTCGGACAAGGATGATGACCGCAAGAGGCTGCTGGACCTGGTGGTTGGAGCCCGAGGCAACATGGATCAGGTCCAGACTCCGTCCGAATTCGAGTCGAACGAAGTTGATTCCGACTTGACCAACATGGTTCCTGTGACCGAGAAGGAGCTTGAGCGGATGTATGGGGAGAAGACGGCTGAGGTCAAAGAACACAAGGAACGCATGGGACTGTGCAAGGATGACCCCAACCTTCCAGGAGGCAAGGTGTACCAGGTTTTCCGGGACCAGGTGACCACGGGTACAGAGCACAGGAAGAGATGCCTGACTGCAATAAGATACCCTAGCAGGCACGCATGCCAACATCGCCCTCAACCCTAAACCATCCTAAACCCTAAACCCTAAACCCCCTAAACCCTACACCCTAAATTTACCCCCGGAACCCTAAACCAAAATCACCTGACCATGAGTAAGGAACCAAGATCACTGCATCTGCCAGCTCCTCCTCTTCCTCTGAGCGACCACCTGCTGCCCGAGAGCCGCCATCCACTTTGATTTCGGGGCTCAACAAGAAGGGCATGGATGGACCTACGGACAAAAGAAAGGTTTCTTTTGTTGACAACACTAAGGGCGACGGCAAGGCCGATGACAACAAGGGCGATGCCGAGAAGGGCGATGCCGGTGGGGACGAGAAGCCAAATGCTGAAAAAGAGCCGAAACAGAAGAAGCCCAAGACTGTGAAGGTGACTCCGACTACGGCTCTGGACCGGGGCAATGATTTGCTGACCCGAATCCTGGACAAGAAGAAGACGGCTGAAAGCCACAAAACGTGCTAAGGACGTTGTCCTTTGCCGGGGACCTGGTGACGGAGCTGACGAAATTCTCCTCAATTTGGGAGCCGCCTGTCTGAATTGTTCTTGTGTGCATATATAACCGTTCATGCTGTGTCAAGACTGACAGCTCAGGGACCTCTATCATCGGCTCTCCGACCTCACCCACAAGAAGATCAACGAGGACCAACCATGAAACTGCTATGGACTCTTTGTATGTTAGCCCTGAATGTGTGATGATATTTGCAAGGATGCGCCGTACATCCCCATCGTGAAAAGCTATCTGGAGCAGCTGCAGACCTTCGATGGTGTCGAGGCGGCAGCCAAGGCCATGGTCAATTCGGCAAAGCCGAAGGCTAAAGCAAAGTCCACTTCGAAAGCGGCCAAGGCGAAGGCGAAAGCCCTTCCACAGGCTTGATCCGATGTATGCCTCATTCGTGAGGATTTTAAGGCCCTGACAATGCAAGTGCCATTGCACGGGCCCAATCATGGTTTGCAACGTGGGGCTGATGTGATTCGACCTGTGTGTTCATCCTGTTCTCGGATGCAACCGATGAAACGTTTAATGCTGTCCGGTTTCACGGTCCCACGTTTCATCCGGGGTGTGGATCCTTCGAAACCATGTTATGACCATGGCTTCTGGGTCTCCTGCGGGGAAAACACTGTCATCCGTATAGAGATTGTCGATTGCATCAACTTTTGTGACTTTGAGCATTGGCAGCATTGTGTATGTTCTTCGTAATGCCCGTCGACCTGCAGGGACACATATGGACGGAATCGGCGGGCCATGCCAGGAGCCTATGCTGCTTTCTCATTCTATGCGGCCACATGTGGCATGGGTTTGCCCAGGGACGCCGATGTGCTGGACAGCCTCGGATGCCAGTTTCTCGCAGAAGAGGTCGGATCTGGAGACCCTCATCCGAAAATGATACACTGAGTGCTGCTCAGAGAATCCACCAAGCACCGAAAGACCAAGCACCGACAGCCCAATCACCGAGAGCCCTGGCAAGGTTAGGTTGGTCGGTTGGTCGGTTGGGTGTCCTTGTGGCGTGGCTTGTGTGTGTTGCTCGCTTGCTCGGTTGGTCGCTTAAACCGTCTCAGTAGCTTGGTCGCTTGGTCGGTCGGTCGGTTGGGTGCACATTGGTCGCTTAGACCGTCTCACTAGCTTGCAGTGAGTGTTTGCAAGTGACTGCGGAAGCTGAAGCCCGGAAGCACCGAGAGCCTCCCAAGCACCGAAAGCCCGAGCACCGAGAGCCCAAGCACCAAGAGCCGAAGCCTGGAGATTCAGTGAGTGGTTGCAAGTGACTGCGGAAGCTGACCAGCACCGAGAAACCCAAGTTCCGAGAGCCCAAGGCGATGTCGGTGGCAAAAGCTTCTGCGATTACTGCGGCATTTGTCGCTGATGGCTGTCGCGGGGTGTCAGCGAAGAACCTAGCCGGTTCTGCCAGGAACAGGGATTTTTGGCGATGGATGAGGTTACCTTTTCAACCTTATACGGTGAAATTGCCACTTCTGGCGAGAAACTCCCTTGACAAACACATCGTGTATGAGCCCGTCGCCATGATTCTCCCGACTGACATGATCGAACAGATGTACAAGAAGAAAGCCTTTGGTGTTAGCATCTTTGGCCCGTCAGGCAAAACCAGCTTGAAAGAATACTGGCAGGCTGAAGATCAATCTTGGATAAACGATATAGGATTGACTCCAGCGGCATTCGACACCTGTATACCTATGTTTTGGCATGAGGACTCGGTGCCATCCTTCAAAGATGAAAGTTATACCTTTTGGTCGTGGACAGCTTTGAGCGAGCTGGGATCATGGCAAAGCAGAGTCTGCTTGGTTGGATTGGCATCCTCCAGGGTGGTGCCGGAAACAAGAGCTGCCATCATGAAGGTGTTGGCATGGAATCTTCGATATATGGCAGAAGGACTTCATCCCACTGTTGACGAGAACGAAATGCCGTGGCCAAACGGGTCGAAACGACAACTGAAGTCGGGAACACCTGTGGCGGGAGGATATACTGCTCGTTTTTGTTGCTGGCAAGGCGACATGGAGGCCAGAAATTATGCCCATTGCTTGGACAAGCGGCACTACAGCCACCGGACAATGATATCAGCACTTTTTTCAGATCCTTTGTGCGACAAATACCATACACAATATATGATCCTAGAGACTGATTCCACTCCCAGCCAACTAAGGATGCAAATTAATTTGCGATCTCTGCCATACCAGCGTCCAGCTTGGCATGACCTACGGCGACTTCAGGAGCACTGCCTCATGGAGAAGGTATGGTCGGGCAATCTTGGACTCCGAAGACCAGTCGCACTGGAAGGCAGTGCCTGGCTATCGGAGGTCCAGAGTGTTCCTCGACAGAATCTCGGTTGCACACTGTGGGTGGCTGATTTGAACAGCTGACCCTTTCGTTTGCTCTGAGCTAAGGCATGCACATTCTCCACCTCGGCACATTGCGGGATGTCATCGCGAGTGTGCTCGTGGACTACCTGCAGTCGAGGGACCTCCACAGGCACACATGGTCTCTCACTTCTTCTGCTTATGACAGAGATATCACTCTGTGGCCGCCGATCTAACTTGAATCTCTCGCTGTCTAATGAAGGTTTGTTGGGCTCGGAGATGACGCACCATTCGACGATGTCTTGCATCGGTTTACGCACGATGCAAAGCGATGGGCTCATGATCATCATCAGGACACGCTCATCTGCTGGATGCCCATGCTGCTGGCTGTCTGCTGTCTGATGTGATATAGGTGCTGCATGGCTGATCGAAGGAGCTCAGCATCAAACCGCTCAATCGGGCGATGCTGGCTCTGCCTGCTAAGTCAGAAACACCGCTGGTTTACCCGGAGCTCACCAGCAGGATCAAGGATTCGTGGCTGACATCTAGCCCGTTTGGTCATGTCTGATCATATGAGGTGTAGTAGGCATGACTGAATGTAACGTGCAGAGTTGCTTGTGAAGCTGAGGCGGCCAGGGTCAAAGTCCTGCTGATGTACCTCACACACGTTGCCTGCTGCATGGTTGCTGGTCTTATATTACAACTCAACAGAGACCCGTCCTGGCAACCAGGACGTAAACTAACACCTAAACCAGTCCTGGCAACCAGGACTTAAACTAACACCTAAACCCAGCCCGAAATCCTCGGACTGTTCTCAGGAGGCAGAGCTCGACGACTGCGACGCCGAAGAGTTGTTTCTCAGACAGGCTGGATCGATCAGTAAGTGCATGGCTAATTCTCCAACGTTGAACAATCATGCATGCGAACCGCCAGACTCGGGCGACTATGTTGTGGAGCCTGTCAACATCGATGCAAATCTGGCTCACTGGTGACCGATACCTGGCCTAATTATATACATAGTATACACGTACATACACCAACGTGCTTAAGTTGTGCTAACCTAAACCCTAAACCCTGAATCCTTGGTAAACCATCCAACGTTCCCGACCAGAACCCCCTGCATCTTCAACCTGCATAAACCCTAAACCCTAGCCGCCTAGATCTGGACCCAATCGAGGACCCTATCTCAGTCCTTCGCAACGAGACGAATCCTGCTACCTGCTGGGCCTCCACCTGATCACATATCAGGCATTATCTGATCGCTCCTTGAAAAGGAGAGCAATGAACTACAGAATACGGCCGAAGATGCACTATGCTGAACATTTGCGAGCTTGGATTTTGAAATCAAGCATTAATCCTCAGGCTCGCAGCTGCTTCTTGGACGAAGATCACATGAAAGGGCTTGCCCAAGTGGCGGCCCGTGTACACCCTTCGACTTTTAACGTTCAGTTTGCAAAGCGATACATACTCAAACGAGTGCTTGCCTTCGCTTCTGATAAGCTGGAACGTGCGACGAAGAGGATCCGACGACGGGCCGGGTGAAAAAAATGCTTGTGATGGCTTCAGCATGTGATGGGGCTCGTGTTGGCATGATCGGTTGTGTCGTGCTTGCTTGTCGATATGTCGAGTTGGTCGGTCGGTTGCAAAAAATGCTTGTGATGGCTTCAGCATGCGATGGGGCTCGTGTTGGCATGAACGGTTGTGTCGTGCTTGCTTGTCGATATGTCGAGTTGGTCGGTCGGTCGCTTGGTGCATGGGCACTTGTGGATGTCGATTGGAATGCTGGGGTGTGTTGTGCTTGATCATCGATATCGACTCGTGCATGCCAGCTTGTGTATGTGTGGCTTAGCTGGACACAGAGAAACGCCTTGAGATGTTAATCATTTGCCAAGTTGTTTGTTTGATGCCAAGTTGTTAAATAAACGCCTCGAGGGCCCTCCAGGTTCTTCGTCAGCCTCAAGAGCCGGGAAGGCTTCTTGGGAAACAAGTGCAGTAGCTACTTGATGTTCTGCTATTTGTCGAAGCCACACAACGAAATCTACGGAAAACACATTGTCAAAACTCAACGGCGCCATATATAGGGACAACTATTTGTGGTCCAGCCATCAAATACATCCATAATGCCATTGTCGTTGCCATAGTAGGAAATGTCGCCTACTCCGTATACAGGTTGAATAGGGATGCTAGCTTCCTGCCACCTATAGGTTTGAGCACTGTCCACCAATAGGTACGGTGTTCCGGACGCCTCGGAGTGACTAACTACTTCATCTATGAGGTCGGAGTGGTTAAGGCCGTCTATCGGGTCCTTATACCTTATAGCTACTATGACTAAACTAGGACCCACAGACTGCAGCTCCTTCCTGGCACCACTTGGTGTCCAGCTGCTTGTGGCGTTCAGGCCCACGTTGACGCAGTGGATCATTGGGTCCTGGAAGTGTTGGGGTTCGCTAGTGAAAACAACGATGTGCTTAGGACCGACAGTGGTTCCTATGTTGCTTACATCTAATAGGCGCTTAAGGGCCTTGTCGTGGTCCCTTAATTCGTTGATACCTTTGGTTATCAACTTACGCCTCCCCTTACTCAACACTGCCATTGAGCACACGGACTTAAACCCAGCGCTAGTTGGGGACTCCGAAGCAATTACTACTCCCTCGTCACTATGCTCCCTTTTCAAAGTGAGGTTTAGTTGACGGGCAATAGTATCGGATTCAGAACTGGGGTCTGAACCAGAACTAGACCACGACGCCCAACGTTCCTGTTTCTTGGCTTTTGGGTTCTTGGGTTGAGGAGGCTTTGGAGGTAGGGGCCTACCTCTCAAACCGTCACTACCCCTATTACCCGAAG